GCAATTTTGTGCCCATGAAGCTGTTTCTGGTTTCACTTTGGGTCATACTGGCTTCTACTTTTCTTGTTTATTTTTGTCTCCAATAAACACGTAGCTTCAACTAGTCCCAGTACTTTTCAGAACATTCCCAGACTTATTGGTCTAAGCATTTATTTGTATTGTTTTGAGCTGTTTCACTACATACTGATTATTTAAATTCTGCTTGGAAGAGGAATGTTTAATTTACTCATTAGGTTTAAGAAGGTCTGTCACTATAAAAAAGGCTCATTGATGGCACTATACTTCTTGCAGTATAACACTATTTAAAGGGCTGTGTGGGGGGAAGGGAACAAAAAAGGAGACAAGCTTGCCTCCCAACATGTATAAGAACAGAGCATAAGTTACTGCAGATGGTCTGTTATAACTTGAAGTGGTTCCCCTTGAGCAGTTTAGAAAACCATAAAGCAAGTTGGGCCCTTTGAGCATCTGAGGTCAAGAAGTTACTGGCAGCTTTCATCTTGGCTTCTATGGGAAGTAAAATCTGCTCCATCTCTCCCCCCATCCTCCCTCCCACCTCCCCTGAAAATTCTAACTTTTCTATATTTGTATGCTGACTCTTGCCTGGGGGAGAAGATGTATTTGTAATCAGTTCAGTCTGGTTGCTTAATCACTTTTACTATAATTTATGCAACAGAATAATTCTACATGCATTGAATATGGGCCAGTGTGTTGACATTGGTTGCACTTTGTGTTGCATGCTGGCCAATGAGTATATTAGTTAGTATTCTCCTAGACTCCTTTCATAGTGTACAAAATTAAGGGACAGTAGTGGTGCTTATGACATGAACAGGATGCCATGAACAGTAGAAAGTCCTAAGTTTTGACTGTTTTTAGATCAGGTACAAGAAGTGAGGTGGGTTTATCTCTAATAAGTTCCAGCATTTGGAAGGTTAGAAACCACATATTTCAAAACAGTTATGGGGTAATTTTTAAAATGCACTTTTTCATGCTTCATCTTCTGTTAGGTTTGATCGTGGTTAAATAGTTCAGTAAAAATTGCCTAATGAATTTTCTAATTTTAATTATTTTAAAATATTGTTAATGTTGCTTCACTTTTAGTTTGATGTCACTATACTTCACTTCTGGTTTGGTAGTTTGGATTCTGGCTGTGGGGTGGGGAGAGAGGAATAGATTCTGCTGATCTGGTTTTCCTTTCCCAACCTCCACTCCTATGCAGGCACACCTGTTTGTTCGATCCCCTTCCCCTGCAGGAAAGTGGTCCAGGAGAGGAGACCCAAATTTCTTCCAGTAACTTCTCTTTTGATGTAGTTGGACATTATTCAGAGCCAAGGCTAAAGGCTGTATCTGGTCCTAAAACAATGTGTTGCAGAAATTTACAGCAGTGAATGATTGGTATGTCTTTTAAATTACACTAAAATACCACATTTAATTTTTTTTCAATACTTCAAGTGGAGTAATTTGGAAATATCACTGCCAAAATACTGCCAGCACATTTATAGTGTTGCATTTGTGCTCCTTCTGTTCAGAATAGAGTTCTAATCTTTGCAGGTCAGACATTCCTCCTTGAAAACTTGTTCCAAGCAAAACTTGAAATACAAGGTGTTTGACCTGGGAGCAACTGTTGCTAAATTTGGTCTGTGGTTTGTCACAGAACTACAAGAATTAGAATGATTGTAGTTTCTAAAATGTACTGTATGCACCCTCTAATACTGAACTTGATATTTATATTTAGTTGGCCTTTCACCTGGATTTAGGGTGTTTGGTACTTTCAGACCTAAATATAATGAATGTTTGTATTAATATAGGTAGTGCACATGTAAAATGCTGTCTTTTAATCACCATACTGTTTACTTATTTCATGTTAAGGAACTGTAGATCTCAATTATAGTTAATGGGCTCATAATCAGGATAAAAGAGTGAATATATATTAGTAGTGAATTGGGTTTTAATGAATCAACTGTCTGAAAAGTAATTGATATGTTTAGCACTGCTGTGTTCTATTATATTGTCTCAAACCTACTAAAATTATTCTGATGAAAAAAATCTGCATTTTAAAACTGCCTAAAATTGTGTTAAAATTTTAAAAGCATTTTAGCCACCTGTTTTAATTTATTCCATTAAAATCTGCTGTTTAAAAATCCCTCATTTTCATAAAACATATCAAAGAATTGTTTTATGTTCAATAAGTCTAATATTTAAAAATGATAGATTTCAGATTCACTCCAGGCTTATAATGTGAGAGTAACTTTCTCAGTGTTGCAGTAGGTAATTCAGTGTACTATACAAATATACTGTTCTAAGTTCTCTGCATCTGTAGATAGTAGCCAATTTCAACTCTAAACACACATGCACATTAAGATGCATTAAATTAAATAATGTTTAAGATTCATAGTAAATATATATATTTTTTAGGATTTTATAATTAGCATTGGGCTACCTATCTTGTTTAAAGTGTTCGGTAATTTAACTGATAAGAGATTTCAAAAATATTTCAGACTTACTAATCAAAATAGCATGATATGTTTTTGACTTAAAAATCAGTTTGACTTTATGAAGGTTTAGCACTTATTTGTTTAATAATTAATATGTCTTTCCTGCCGATAAGGATTAGATTACTGCTGACTTGCTTTACCTGGAGAATGTTGTAGTAATATTATAGAGGGTTTTTTTGTAGGATTCAAAGGTGTACCTATGAATAATTTGATAGCTGGCTGATCTGCAGGATATAAACCTATGGAAGTACTAGAAGGGGAGACCCTTTTGGAAGTTCCTAAATGCCTTAATATATTATAGGGATTGGTCAGTTTCATTGTCTCCATTTGTCATTCTTATTCGCAGCTTGCCGTGTAAGGCTATAAGCCTGCATTGTGCCTGGCAACTGTTACCTAGTGACAATTTCAGCTGCAATAGCCATTGGCTGTGCTGTTGATTGGGGTAGAAGGACCGAGTCACCTTTCTAATAGTGAGTTCTTCTGCATCAGCTATGGATAAAGAGGAGGAGCAGACTCAGGTGCAAGCAGTAATTTCGAGAGAGAATGTGAGAAATAGCGACAGCATCTTTCTAAATGCACCACAGTAAACAGGACTTCTATATCAAGCAATTCACCATAGAAGCTGATAAGAATGAACATAGGTGAGAAACGTTGCATTATTGCTGTAAGAAGAAAATTCAGCAAAGTAGTAATTTTTGTAACCTACTATATTGCTTATAAACAGAGGGAATGAACAACCGGCAGTGTTCTGGGATGTTATAAAATCAAAAGGATCTTCTCTTCAGAATGTAGTACACACCAGAAAATTAACTTCCAAAAGAATGCTTTCTATCAAACTGCTGCATCAGAACTGGAGAAAATGCTTTTTTTCTAGAGTGTGAAATTCCTTTGGAAGACACAGCACTGGCTATTAAAAGCATCAGAAAGATGCCCGTACTTCTTAAAGGGACTTTAAGCAAATGCTAGCGTAATATCTGAATGACCTTGGAAACTGTTTTTATTTGGATTGATTCATTCTCACCCGCCTGTTTCCTAACCTCGGGAACGCTTGGATTAAAGATTGTTTTACTATTATAGGGGGCTTTAAAAACAAGACTATATACACTTAGTAACCTACCTAATGGTCCCTGCATTAATCAAGCATTTATTTAAATCTGAACATAGAAGAGGCTTTCTTTTAACATATGTCTGCTCCATAGCTGCAAATATAATGAACAAGGTAATGTCCTGCTATATTAGAAGATTTGGTTTTTCAAGCAGTGATTTATTATGCTAATTGTCTAATGAAAATAGAAAGATGAACCTAGAAGATGAAGCTGAGTGACAGAATAATGGAGTAGTAAACAATGGCAGATTTTCTAGTCAAATCAGCATTTCATTAGCTTCGCAGCTGAATGCAGATGGAAGTTTCTGTTCTCGTATGGGGCTTTTGTGAAACAATTCAGGTGTTGCTACAAAGCTAAGGAATAACATGGCTATACCTGTAAACTTCACTGTACTGTTTCACTGTAGCAGGTGTGGCATAATTTCTAAAGAAAATTATTTTCAATGATCTTTGCTGAAATTAAATGCAAGAAGATTTTATTTTGTCTGTTGGGATCTTGGATTATGCTGCTGACGCTGACATTGAAATGGACCGTAACTGTTCAAAGAGCTGGGAATATTGACTTAAAGCTCCAACATTTATTCTTATTTTTTTTTCTTTAATTTTTAACTGATTATATGTGGTCTTTTTCACTGTACATTAGATATATACTTTCCTTTCTGGGAGTTGAGACAAAGCTGGTTCACCCCACACTCATCACCCTCCAAATAAAATTCATTGTCTGTACCCAAATACTGGTGAGTCTGTTGGAATTAACCTTGACAATAATGTTTTCCTTACCTATCTAGTAAATACCATAGATGAGAGAGAGAGTATCATCTCCTGAATGGAGCCAAAAGAGACAGCATAATACAGTGAACTTTTTCCTGGGGTTCCCAGCCAGTCTGTGATTTTAAATGAGCATAAAACATAAATTATTTTATAATAATTACTGATTCAGGAAACTTTGAGGTTTTTTTTCCTTTTATATTTTTCTATTTAATTCCAAAGGAACTGACTTCTCAGGAAAATAAACATCCCCATAATTTTTTTTCCCCAGGCAGTTGACTTTTTATTTCCTCTGTTTTGTTTAGTTTTTATTTCTATCCTCCACAAGTACAGCATAAAGTACCTGCTTTCTGTAGAAGTGCCTTGTGTTTGCTAAAGATGGATCGCGATCACTGGAGGAAGCTGATCAGTGGCCTTTCTTCTCCTCCTTTCTGGCTTTTTTCTTTCCTTGAAGCTAAGGTGTGTCAAAGTGATGCACTGATGCTGAAGCGGCACCAACGGCTGTGAGACTGTAACGTCTCAAATGGCAGCATCCACAAAAAGAGATCTTGAGACACTGAAGCAGAGTATAGCTGGTGTTGAGGAAGTCACCTGCTTGCTAGAACTCTGATTGCAGTGTTCCCAGATTGCAAACAATGAACCAGTCCAGATGGATTGAATGGAAGACTCTGAATATGAGCAGTAGCATTGTGAATGTGTCTGAGCATCTCTCCTGCCCTCTTGGTTTTGGCCACTACAATGCAGTTGATATCTGCATCCTTGAGACGGTCATTATTGTTTTGCTAACATTTTTAATTATTGCTGGTAACTTAACTGTTATATTTGTCTTTCACTGTGCTCCACTTTTACATCATTATACCACCAGCTATTTTATTCAGACCATGGCCTATGCTGATCTTTTTGTTGGAGTTAGCTGTTTGGTTCCTACCTTGTCACTGCTTCATTATTCTACAGGTGTTCATGAGTCCTTGACTTGTCAAGTTTTTGGATATATCATCTCTGTGCTGAAGAGTGTCTCTATGGCATGTCTTGCATGCATCAGTGTGGATCGTTACCTAGCTATTACAAAACCTCTCTCCTATAATCAACTGGTTACACCTTGTCGATTGCGAATCTGCATCATTTTGATTTGGATATACTCTTGTCTGATCTTCTTGCCTTCCTTTTTTGGATGGGGAAAACCTGGTTACCATGGTGATATTTTTGAATGGTGTGCTACTTCCTGGCTCACCAATGCCTATTTTACTGGCTTTATTGTATGCTTACTATATGCTCCTGCTGCCTTTGTCATCTGCTTCACATATTTCCACATCTTTAAAATTTGTCGACAACACACCAAAGAGATAAATGACCGGAGAGCTCGTTTCCCTAGCCATGAAGTGGATGCTGCTGGAGAGACTGGGCACAGCCCTGACCGTCGCTATGCCATGGTTTTATTTCGGATAACCAGCGTGTTTTACATGCTGTGGCTTCCTTACATCATATACTTTCTGCTGGAGAGTTTTAGGGTGCTGGAAAATCCAGCACTTTCCTTCTTAACAACATGGCTTGCTATAAGCAATAGTTTCTGTAACTGTGTGATATATAGCCTCTCCAATAGTGTTTTCAGGCTGGGACTCCGGAGACTGTCAGAGACAATATGTTCATCTTGTATGTGTTTAAAAGACAAGGATCTACGGGACCCAAAACCTAGAAAACGAGCTAACTCCTGCTCTATTTAAAAAAAACAAAACTGGGACGACTAATCAAATGCAGTTTGACGTTGGGTTTGGGTAGTATTTGATATATCTGGAAATTTGCCACAACAGAAATATTTACTTGAATTGTTTGCTATGAAGTGGGAGAGGTTTAAAACTCATTTGTAAAAAGGAAAAGGCTGCTATAAAAAGGGCATCAAAGGGATACACACATTAATTGTGAAACTAGGAAAATGGGATGAGAGAAGTTCAACAGAGAAGATTAAGAAAAGTCAATATCTCAAATCTTCCATAGGGCATGAAATAACTGGCACATCAGAGTAGGTCCCTCTTAGGAAAAATAGGTGATTTACTGTTTATATTTTCCCTTGTAGAGAAATTGTCAGATATGTGGCCGAATATACAGTAGCCTCTTGCATTAAAATATACTTTTTTAAAGCATAGTAAGTGGCTGTCCATAAATTATCTCCTTAGAGGATTCTTAATGTTGCAGCTTAACAATCAGCTGCACTTTGTCTTTGCTCATGTATTGTACTATTTTCTGTTATACAAATAATTGGCTAAAGTTACATACAAATTAAGCTGTTGGGCACGCTTTGTGGATAAAATTACAGTTTTTTTGTCTTCTGTATTTTTGGTGTAACCACCACAAACCCTACTCCCCCACCTCCCTCTCCCCCCTTTCCATTTTTCATGCCGTCCTTCCCTGGGTCCCATCATGTAGAAATGACTTGGGTATGAAGGAAACTATAGAATAAACTTCATTTAAAATTATTTCTTCCTTGAAAAAGAAATGTCCCTTTGGCTAGTTGGAAGATTGCATTCACCCTGTTCTATTGACTTCTGTAAACTTTAATTCTTTGGATCCAAAAAAATTAGCACACAGTATTGATGTGATGTCCTTTAGGATATGCTAAAGCTTTTTCTTGATCAGCTCCACAAGTAATCCTAATGCAAATAGTATAAGGGAACATAGCAGCGTGACATCACTGCTTACTTAGTGAATTAAAAACAAAAATGAAAAGAAAATACTTTTTCTGTGGGGTCTAAATAGCTTACTGTTGTAGCTGCCAATCTTTTGTGTGAACCTAGCTTGCACATATTGTATTTTTTTAAAAAAGAAAATGTAAATGATGTGGTCTGTGCCTAATGTTTTCCTAGCACATGGAATAGGTCAATGCTATTTTAAGTCTACAGGATTAAAAAAATGTTATTTGCTTTAAGAGAAACACTTTTGTGCAGTTGTTATAGGTATTTATTAGACAAGTGTTCTTAGAGGAGATGGGGAAACCATTTAGTATCAAATACAGGTAAGAACCTCAGTATTTCCTTTCCTTTCAGGTTCACTGATTAAATAAAATATATTTTGCAAGGGCGCTACGTGAGTTTGTGTAATAAATTGCTAGGGGTTCAGATACAGCATGGCAGGCAGTGAAATACTTAATGTTGTTTTTGACCCAAGTGTCATTTTCTCTGATGGTTGTTTGTTTAGATTTTTTTAAAGGCCCAATTATAGAATGTTGGTCCTTTTTAACAGCTGCACTATGATTCCTTCTTTTACCAAAATGCATATAATGAAATTGTGCCTATGACTTTTCATAATGGAAGCCAACACTACTGGCTTGATTCCAGTAGTCCCTTTTAAAAACATGTATGAATTGTTTTGATGAGGTGGTACTGAACCCCTGTACATTTTTAAAACTGTAAGAAAGTTGAGAAAAATAAACAGAATAAACTAGTATTATGTATATCAAAACCAGGCTTGCCTTTAGTTCCCTGATGTTTTGTCGTGTTCTTATTGGAAATTCTACTGGGTTAGAACTCAGGACTTAACAATTAAAAAAAAAAGTCCTTAGTACTTACTTTGTTTTGCTTATGTACCTCTGTCTCATTGTCTGTGGTATCATATAATAGTTAACAGAATTAAATGCCACTTAGAACACATGACTAGCTAAGATGTTGATGGTTATTGATGATAGATAATCCACATAAAGTGGGAAAAGGAATCTCTTGTCTTTACCTCACACAGGTCATAGCTTTTTGTAAAGAACTAAGTCTTGTACTTCTGAAAATTCCATCCACTGTTTTCAGAAGAGGACTGAAGTAGCTTAAGAGCCTTAGTATAATTTTCAAAACTGACTTAGGATTGCTTAATATAAAAATGGTTTGGTGGTATTGATATATCAATGACGTTATCCTGGCCAAGCCATCTAATGAAAATGCAGTTTATACAAGCAAGAGTGCTTTTGGCTGCCAGCACTTAAATCACGCTTAAATCAGGTTCCCAAATAGAATAAGATCTGCCAGAAAAATAATTCTGAAATAATTCTGATAGCATAAATGTGGGTATGGACAGCCATGGATTTGAAGTGTTCCAAATCCTCAAGTGTTTCAAATTTGGTGTGCTTGATAGGCCTGTATGAAGTGGCTGGTATTCGCTTTGGATTTGGATTCAGCCGATTCGGGGGGCAGTGATTCAATTCAGTGATTCAAATGACTGTCCTGAATTGATTCAGCTGAATCTGCTTTAGAGATTCAGCTGCTGCTGAATCAGCTGAATCTCTGAATCACACAGGCCCTGCCTGGCCCAGCTCCTGGCTCTTTGAAGGAAAAAAAAGCCCCCACTCACTGGCTGCTCCCAGGAAGGGGGCGATCCCCGCTGCACCCCACTGCCCAATGCTGCATGGGGGGCTCTGTCACAAGCCCTCC